CCATCGCCAGAGAAATCCTAGTAAACAACACAGAAATCATCGATAGATACAGCGATAGCAGGTGGCTTGACGTTTGCGAGGCACTACACATCAAGAAGTCAACACCAGCAATCAACAGCCAATTATTGCACAACTATATTCTACCCACCTCAAGACTCCGCTCCAATATAGAAGCATCAAGAAATATGGACCAATAGGCTTTCTACAAACACTTCTATTCAATACCCATTGTTTCTGTTCTGTCTTGTGTTGATACTTTTAATACCCTATTAATATCCCCTCCTGTTCTGTCTTGTGTTAATGCCACATCACCCTTCCCACCTCACTCAAATGTAGATATAAAATCAGAGATACGTTCTAATCAGTTGTGTATTTGTGAAGTCTTTGAAAATGTAATAAGTTTTACGAAACGCGCCCGTGTCGCGTCAGACTAGAAATAAAAATGAATTTTGGAGAAGTGATTTTTGATTTACCTCCAACAGTGAAGCGTAATGTACGAAAGATTGAGAAAATTCGTGTTAGAATTATTAATCTTACTTTTTCGGTCATATTTAATAATATATATATATATATATATATATATATATATATATATATATATATATATATATATATATATATATATATATATATATATATAAGACAATGTCAGACCACGAAGGAAAAATGAAACAGGAAATTTCCTTAAGTACTTTCGTATATTAAATACATCTTCAGAAGCTCCTTTAATATACGAAAGTACTTAAGGAAATTTCCTGTTTCATTTTTCCTTCGTGGTCTGACATTGTCACAGTCTTAATCACGTGTTTATTTTCGTGATATACACACACATATATATATATATATATATATATATATATATATATATATATATATATATATATATATATATATATATATATATATATATATATCGTACCTAGTAGCCAGAACTCACTTTTTGGCCTACTATTCAAGGCCCGATTTGCCTAATAAGCCAAGTTTTCCTGAATTAATATATTTTTTCTAATTTTTTTCTTATGAAATGATAAAGCTACCCATTTCATTATGTATGAGGTCAATTTTTTTTTATTGGAGTTAAAATTAACGTAGATATATGACCGAACCTAACCAACCCTACCTAACCTAACCTAACCTATCTTCATAGGTTAGGTTTGGTTAGGTAGCCGAAAAAGTTAGGTTAGGTTAGGTAGGTTAGGTAGTCGAGAAACAAATAATTCATAAAAACTTGGCTTATTAGGCAAATCGGGCCTTGCATAGTAGGCTGAGAAGTGCGTTCTGGCTACTAGGTACGACATATATATATATATATATATATATATATATATATATATATATATATATATATATATATATATATATATATATATATATATATATATATATATATAACCTAGCCTGCAGCCTAATATAACCTACCTTGTGCTAACTCACCATAGCCTTATGGTAGGAATTAGTTCCCTTGAAAAGAGAACGTCACTGTCTATTGCAACTAATCTGTTCTCGTGCACACTTGCTTATATGTACGTGTTGCACGCGCCTTATTGCAGCTGTTGGTGATGCAACATTGTTCTTCACTGACACTGATGATAACAGATATATAAGATTGTTCTTCACGAGGGTTTAGAACAATGATCCACCTCTCCTTGTCACCTTACCTGTGGAGGTTTCAGGGGATCAGAGGCCCCGCGGCCCGGTCTCCGACCAGGCTTCCTTGTTCGTCGTCTGGCCAACCAGGCGGTTGGACGAGGCAGCTCGCAGCCTCACGTATGAATCACAGCCTGGTTGATCAGGTATTGTTTGGAGATGTTTGTCGAGATCTCTCTTGAAGAGGAACTAGATAGGACCAATTATAATAAACCAATCACCATCATGAATAATGAAAGAACACTAATTAGCATTCTAAAAGCTTCCTCAACATCAAGAACAATTCACTGAGCATAAAGGTAATCATTACTAGCCTTCAATGGCTCATTAAATGTATAATTATAAACCTATTAGATTCCTTTTTAAGAGAAAGGATAATGATTGAAAATCAATAGAGAATTCGCTTTAATGTGTGTCGCCTCAGGTCAGGTCAGGGATGAGAATAATAAGAGCCTCATGAAGCAGGTGTCGTAGAGTTTCTAACTACGATAACTCATAAGCTACGATCCTTGGGACGCTGACGTAGACTTGGTCGAGGACCGGGCCGCGGGGACACTAAGCCCCGAAACCATCTCAAGGTAACGGCAATATCCCTAGAGCTGCGATTCCTAGGTAGAGAGGATCGAAACTAATCATAAGGTGGTTTTAGCATATATCCATTTTTCTATATGTTACAGTTGTGTATAAGGGTAGGCTTAGATTATGCCCGGTTAGGTTACGTATTAACCAAAATGTTAAGAAATCGTTGGTGATCCAGGTAAGTTGATAACTTATCCCTTTGGTTATCAAGTTCCAGTTGTTAAATACAAGGTTGTCATGCACTCCATCTATGATATGTTGACTTGGTGACATCCATATGATACTGGCACTCTCTCCCACAGTGTGGGGCACTCTCTCCCACAGTGTGGGGCACTCTCACCCACAGTGTCGGGCACTCACCCACAGTGTGGGGCACTCACCCACAGTGTGGGACACTCTCACCCACAGTGTGGGACACTCACCCACAGTGTGGGGCACTAACCCACAGTGTGGGACACTCACCCACAGTGTGGGACACTCACCCACAGTGTGGGACACTCTCACCCACAGTGTGGGAGACACTCACCCACAGTGCCTCCCCCATCAGAAAGGAAGATAACCAAGAAAGCTTCGAGGTATTGCATCTCTGCAATATTGACCAGAAATGTTGCTCTGGGGACTTTTTAATCGGGTCAATAGCTCTTGAGGGAAGACTCTCGGCCAGCTTCCACATGTCTTTGATCAAGTCAATTTTGATCTATTTAAACTGTTTTCACGTTATATATATATATATATATATATATATATATATATATATATATATATATATATATATATATATATATATATATATATATATATATAATTATTATTATTATTATTGCCTATTGTTGATTTGGTGGTGAAATTATGTATATGTGATTTTTGTTATATATTTACCTGAGCGTTGGGGCCCGATATTGACTGTTTCGTGGGGGATGTATTAATCATATTGACTTTTAGCATCGTATAGCAGCATAATACAACATTATCCTGTATCAAGATAATACAGCACCATCCTATAGCAGCATAACAGTGCAGCATCCTGCTGTAGGATTTATCGAAAATATCCTACAATTCTTATCATGCAATAACATCATAAAGTACAATTATACAATGATATCCTATAATCTCACCCCAAACTGACATCCTGCAACAGCATCCTACACTAGTATTTTATAATATCTTACAATGCTATGATTGGGCACGTTTCCTTTCACCTAATGCCGCTGTTCACCTACCATTGAAAAGGTACCCGGCAGTTAGACAACTGTGGTGGGGTTACATCATTGGGAAGGTGAGTAGTTTGACCTAGGTAGGGGAGGAGGGACCTAAATGCAAGCCTAAGGTATGCATATATATACACACAGCCTGCCTGTCCCCTGGATTACGGGCTCACCATAGCCCGTGCTACTTTCCCTGAGAAAGGGAATGATTAATGCAATATTTCAATGCGTGCAATAGTTGAGTGTGCAGCAAGGCGCTCCTGGCATCTGGAATGGGGCTACACACGCAGCCAAGTTGATCAACAGGAGGATACACATACACCGCCGCGCCTCGCTCACCCTCCTCGATGACCTTTAGTAACGAGGGAACTTCCTAAAGCTGACAGCCTCCGCCAGCGCCGGTCTGGGGACTCGAAGAGCCGCGCGCGTGTCACGGGAGATGATGATACCGCTGCCCAAGGAGGCTCCCTCAGATGTCTTTGGTAAAAGTCACTTCGTACACAAGACGACCTCGACAGCCTACCTAACTTAACTTATCCTTACCCTGGCCGCTCTAATCAAACCCAGGCCGCTATAACCTGACCCAGCCAATGCTAACACAGACTAATTAAAGCTAATTCATCCTAATCCAGTTATACATATGCGGTTTTAATAAAAAGAAAACGAACTAAACTAATTACAAAGCGCCAGGAACCTCATGCCAACGGGTCTGAATGGTTTAATAACTGGGCATTCGGTGATGTAGTGTGGGAGATCATGCCGCAGTTCCTGCTCACAGAGTTTGCACCTGGAGTGCTCAGGATTGGGAGACCCGTCACCTGTAGCCACCTGCCACAGGTAACAGTAACCCAACCTGATCCTGGCAACCACTGTGTCGCACAGTCTGGTCCACGTTTTGTCCTGCCCCATAAACATAGGTTTCAGATCTGAACCAAACCTTAGCTTTTTATACTGGTGCTTTCAGGCCTTTGAGAGGCAGTAATTTCTCACCGATGACTTGCGCTGGAAATGAATATACAAACTGGATGAATATACAAGTGGAGGTTATATACATGTTTGTGTATATACAGATATATACTTCTCGTGGGCCAAAAGTATACATACCCGCACATTCTTATTCAAATATCTATGTTCAGCATATATAATCAACACCTGTGCCATGTTACCTGTGTTCAGTTACACCTGTGGCAAGGTGTGTTTGGAATACCTGGGGCCAGATTCACGAAGCAGTTAGGCAAGTACTTACTAATCTGTACATCTTTCCTCAATCTTTGACGGCTTTGGTTACATTTATTAAACAGTTTACAAGAATTAAAACTTGTCAATCAACTGTTGTTATTGTTATAAACAGCCTCCTGGTGCTTCGGAGCTCATTAACTGTTTAATAACTGTAAACAAAGCCACCAAAGATTGAGAAAAGATGTACAGGTTCGTAAGTGCTTGCGTAACTGCTTCGTGAATCTGGCCCCAGGTTCGTAAGTGCTTGCGTAACTACTTCGTGAATCTGGCCCCAGGTGTCCTTTAAGTGTTAGCAAGAACGCTCAATGGTGTCCATCGTGTGGTCCGCAGCGCCTCTGGTGGCCGTTTACGCCGTGCGGGGAGGGACGGCCCGGCTACCCTGCAAGCTGACCACGCGGATTCAGGATCCGGTTATACTCGTCTTGTGGTACAAGAACGGCACCAAAACTCCCATCTACAGGTAAACAAACATTAGGAAATGTGTTTGGTGTGTATGTGTGTGTGTTTACTATTTATATTTGTGTTTGTTCTTGCAGCATCGAGCTGTTAGCTCTTGGACTCCGCTTTTCTAACCGATAGTTGTCTAATGTACTGATTCCCCGATCTATTTTAATCTATCATGTGTTACATTTATTTCTCACATACTACATATGTTTCTGTCTCTCTCTCTCTCTCTCTCTCTCTCTCTCTCTCTCTCTCTCTCTCTCTCTCTCTCTCTCTCTCTCTCTCTCTCTCTCTCTCTCTCTCTCTCTCTCTCTCTCTCTCTCTCTCTCTCTCTCTCTCTCTCTCTCTCTCTCTCTCTCTCTCTCTCTCTCTCTCTCTCTCTCTCGCTCGCACACACACACACACACACACACACACACACACACACACACACACACACACACACACACACACACACACACATCCCCAGGAAGTTTGTGTGTGTGTGTGTGTGTGTGTGTGTGTGTGTGTGTGTGTGTGTGTGTGTGTGTGTGTGTGTGTGTGTGTGTGTGTGTGTGTGTTGCAAATCCACATTATTGTAAGGGGTTAGCATTATATTCTCTAGGCTCTTCAGAGGCTATACAATTTAGACGACGCGGAATAGCATTACCAACACCTGTGTTGCTGCAGGGAGGGCGTCAATCCCATTGATTACCGGTTATACATTAACTTTATTGTTCGCCCCTTGGTCTGATTGGTAGAGCGACGCGCCCTGCCTATCAGAAGCACCGCAACAGTGGCTGATGGTAATCCATCCTTCATCCTAGTCATATATATTGGAAAGCCTCCCTATTGTGGGCAGTATCATCTCTTTCATTTGGATCTTTGGGGGATTGAACTCAGACCTGTGAATTACAAAGTGAATTGTGAATTATGCAAATTGGCATAATTCATAATGAAATGGATTAGAAAAGACGTTGAAAGACAAAGGGAATGGGTTAAAAAAAAGCAATTGAAGCCACCTATACAAACGGGTTTAATGGCAAATATAATGTTACATACAGGAAGAGTCTTCGAATAAGCAGTTGATAGCTGGAAAAGCGGGGTTTAGGACCTAAGGCTCGATCCTGAAAGCACATCTAGCTAAATACTTCTAGGTTAGTACATACGCACACAAACGCGAACATCTTGTTTATCTATCAAGGTTATATTATTGTTTATCTGTAGTACTATCGCTTGTTTAGATAGTACTTTTTGTAACTATGTACACCATCGTACATAAATTGACGTAATGGACAATTAGATAGGAATTTGGCACCATTCACTTTACAAGTCTAGAAAAAAATAAAGCTGAAATCCAGACTTAAATATTCTTAGGCCTAGTATAGCACATATCTGTACTATATTAGGCCTGAGATAGCGTGCATTAGGCCTAGGATGGTCAGGTTAGATTTTATTACCAACCTAAATACAATACCTTTACCCGTTTCTCCAAATTCAATAGTACCAAATTCTACTTTCTAACTGCCCATTACGTCAATATATATGTACGATGGTGTACATAGTTACTATAAGTACTATCTTACCAAGCGGATGGACTGAACGCCTGTAGCGAGTCCCCACAAACAACACATGCAAACATTGCATGCACAATGTCACCATAAAAGCTACAACTCAAGCTTGCATACATATTAAATTGCTTGTGGACTATACTCGGACTGATTGGTTGAGCGGCCACCTCGCCTCTTCCCGGCCCAGGGTTCGACGTCCAATGGACCCCATTGTGTCCAGTATATTGTCATGCTGGATTAGAGCTTTCTCATGTAAGCTGGCTCTTGAGAACCAAATCCTATTTAATTGATGCCAATAAAGTGTAAGCTTGATTTACACTGCTGTCCACACCTGTTTAGCCCAATCATTATTTTATATATCAATGATTTTATATATCAGGAATAAAGTCTGTGATTCTTAACAGCGTGGATTCCCGGAGTAGAGATCAGGAGGTGGCCGCGAGCAGCATCCACATCTCCCAGGGGCTGCAGAGCAGGGCCAGCTACCGTCAAGAACGGTGGAGTTGGACTCTGATCCTGAAGCAAGTGGAGCTGAGTGATCAGGGCGAGTACCGCTGCCGCCTCGACTTTCAGTCCTCTCCTACACACAACTCCAGAGTACTTCTTCGTGTGGTTGGTGAGTGCAGCCCCAGAGTACTTCTTCGTGTGGTTGGTGAGTGCAGCCCCAGAGTACTTCTTCGTGTGGTTGGTGAGTGGAGCACCAGAGTACTTCTTCGTGTGGTTGGTGAGTGCAGCACCTGACTACTTCTTCGTGTGGTTGGTGAGTGCAGCCCCAGAGTACTTCTTCGTGTGGTTGGTGAGTGGAGTACCAGAGTACTTCTTCGTGTGGTTGGTGAGTGCAGCCCCAGAGTACTTCTTCGTGTGGTTGGTGAGTGGAGCACCAGAGTACTTCTTCGTGTGGTTGAATCATTCAGACTTGTTTGAGTGGCGTGTAAACTGCCAGGAGGGAGAGAGAGAGAGAGAGAGAGAGAGAGAGAGAGAGAGAGAGAGAGAGAGAGAGAGAGAGAGAGAGAGAGAGAGAGAGAGAGAGAGAGAGAGAGAGAGAGAGAGAGAATGTTACACGAAGCTAATAACCTCAGGGGAAAACGACAGTGTACTAGAACTCCTTCCTGGAAGGTAGAGAACGGTGTCGAAATTGTGTCCCTCAAGATGAAAACGCCTCTGCGTGACCCAGGACCACTAAAGGTGTTTGTTTAGCAATAATTTGCGTGTATATTGTGACGGGTTGATGGCAGGATAGGTTGTGGTGTCCTGATAAGGAAGACGCTAAGTACAATGGACAGGAAAATCGAACTCTGACTTAATACTAGAGTTGCAGGCCATTGTGGCTGTTTTGGATGAAGTAGTTCAAGACGAAAAAGATGTTTTTCGTACTTGTCGAGAGCCGAGGAGCACTTGATTCATTAAACACTTGAATTCCAATCTTCGTGCAAATAGTTGAGGATTGTAAGGAAAGGATAAATGAATAATGCTAAAGTGTTACAAAGTTAAATTCATGTGGATTCCATCTCATGTTGGAATAGTGGTCAACGAAGTGGCGGATGAGCTGGCCAAGTGCACCACGATAACTCCACAACTTGACACTGAATGTGGTTTAACCATGACACAGATAAAGAGCAAGCTAAGAAATATGCAGACACAGGGTGAAGTGGTGAAGAAAGGTATACTGTATGAGAGAAGACCAACCATGCAACACTACATTTATGTGAGTCTAAAACACCCATTTCACTTTATTTCACTCAAAGGGAAAATATATTTAGAGTAACTGCACCCATGCGGGTCATTCTCGAGTACACATATTACTGGGAATTTGGAACAGGTGTTAATGAATCCAAGTGTAAACTATGTGGTATGTTAAGGTCTCACATACCCATTTTGTTCTTTATTATCCCTTGATTAATGTGTATAGAGACACTGAGATAAGGACTGTTCCTGAACAAGTAGCCTGCATGTGTCAGAACGGAAAGATTGATGATAATCTGGAGAGATACAAGAATTTAGCACCGAGATTGTAAACATTTGTTGATGTGTCTGAATGTATATTTGTAGCTTTAGTATTATTTCTGTCTTGTGTATTTGTACATAGTTATACACGCATGTGAATGTATGTTTGGTATGATATTGCCTGTGCACAAGGAAGAACAGTAATATATCGAGTGTTTTTGATGTGTGTAAATATATGAACACGTATTGAACGGTGTGAGAACAGCTTTAGCTACCTCACCCCTTTGTGTGTATTTATATGTCAATAAACTTATTTCAATTTCAATTTCAAAGTCACACTTCAGGCCACCCACACATACTCTCAAAGTCACACTTCAGCCCACCCACCCATACTCTCCAAGTCACAATTCAGCCCACCCACCCATACTCTCAAAGACAGACTTCAGCCCACCCACCCATACTCTCAAAGACACACTTCAGCCCACCCACCCATACTCTCAAAGTCACACTTCAGCCCACCCACCCATACTCTCGAAGACACACTTCAGCCCACCCACCCATACTCTCAAAGTCACACTTCAGCCCACCTACCCATACTCTCGAAGACACACTTCAGCCCACCCACCCATACTCTCAAAGTCACACTTCAGCCCACCCACCCATACTCTCAAAGTCACACTTCAGCCCACCCACCCATACTCTCGAAGACACACTTCAGCCCACCCACTTTAAAATATACAAGCAGGTCCTTGGTGGTCTCCTCAGAACTACCTGGAGATCTCCGCGTGTATAGCAGTGGAGGGACGGAGGTACTGGAGGAGGCGGCGGTGCAGGAGGGCCACCCCCTCACACTCTCCTGCACAGCTACAGGAGGTGAGGACACCGGCCCCTCTCTCCTCGAACACTATCATTGGACATCACATATCTGAAAATACGACGACGTTTTGTTCCATTCTGGCCCTGATAGTGGTCCACGACGGGCCGAAACGTCGTCTTATTTTCAGATGTGTGGGTTGGGGGGGGTCTTATTTTCAGCCCCGTTATTGTGACTTACTGTCTGCGTGGTATTAATGGTTCATGTGTGTTTTATAGTGACTTGTTGGTACCTTTACATACAGAAATCACAATAACGTGATGTATCAAATGAACAAATCCACAAGGGCCGTGACGAAGATTCGAACCTGCGTCCAGGAGCATCCCAGACGCTGCCTTAATCGACTGAGCTACGACATGACTACGACCTATTGACATAGCTCGAATGCATGGGCGAGTTGTGTAAAACCCTGGTTTGTGTCTCGGAGAGGCTACGGGATCCAGTAAGTTCAGTAGAACTTCGGATTCAACTCTTTTTAACCATGTCGTAGCTCAATCGATTAAGGCAGCGTCTGGGATGCTCCCGGACGCAGGTTCGAATCCTCGTCACGGCCCTTTTGGATTTGTTCATTTGTTGGTACCTGTTCCTGTTGCCCAGCTCAGAACACTCTTGAGTGGCCAGCGAGAAGCATGTCAACAATTATTCCATCAATTTTCCACCTCATTCCTGAACCAGTATTTACCCAGGTCTTTTCAGACTCTAAACGTATTCAATATGCCTCCATTATTACGTGTTTTGTATTTTTCTTTTTTTGTTAAATATATTATGTATATCCCGCTCATTTTATCGTTTCATTCATTTGTATATTCATACATATGCCACGTAAAGGCCAATAGGTCTACTGTAGTCTCCTTAATGGCTCAAAAATATGATTTGTTGTATATTTTGGAACTGTCAGACCAGCCCGTCCTCCTAAAGTTTCCCAACGTCAAGAAAACAGTCAATTTAAAGTGGTCTCTCCTAACCTAGCAGAGGACCCAAAACAGAAAACGGGACAGTACGTCACTTTCACGAGCTACTTCCATTTTGTGGCCGTATGTGACGCGTACGAGCGAAAAGCGACGTTCTTTGTAAGAGGACAGGTTGGTCAGGCAGTCTTCGATACAGTACACCACGGAATATAAATAGTATCACGTAACCTGACCGATTTTAGGGGCTATTCCTGCCCGTGCCACCTCTTGGGTGGCTTAATCTCCATCAATCAATCATACTGACCGATTACTACATCAGGGCAGCCCCTGCCTAACGTGACGTGGTGGTCCGGGTCCACCCTGCTGGACGCGACGACGGAGGACCGGAGCGAGGGCGCCAGGGGGTCGGAGGCCACCACGGCCTCCAGCGTCACCAACACACTGCGCCTTGCAGCCGTCACTCGCCACCACCTGGCTCACAACCTCACCTGCATGGCCGCCAACACACCTCTCATACCCCCGCTGGTCGCCTCCGTCCTTCTCACTGAGACAGGTGAGGTCATTGGCTATTAACTATCCGGTGGTTGTTGGTTTGTAGGCTCTCTCTAAATATATATATATATATCTCGCATTCTCTTAACAGTTTTAAGGGGTCACCATAACCCGTGCTACATGGAGATTTCGTTCTGAGTAGCTAAATCTAAAACAACAACAACTTAAACATTCTTGTCATAATATTTACACACATGTCTGCTTGTCTTACAGAACTTATAAGGCCCTCAGGTGATCTCAAGTCAAGTCATAAATTATTAAGAATGAACAGCACAACAGTGATTGAAATGTTGCAACTTTTTTTTTCTTTCAAAGTTTGTGTATGTGTTTTTGTGAGTTGCTCAGTTAATTGTAGCTGTTGGAACGGCCGTCAATCCCTATATTCCATTTAATCTTTTCCATTTTTTTAATTGTAATGGTTCCCGACCCATTAGACTTATATAGATATTTTTAAATCTGTGCATTGATACCTTGATTATAATCGCGTCTTGTTCAATGTTTCTTTACGTTCTTATAGTTTACGTGTGTCTAGGTTCCTTCCATAGCCTATTGTTCTGCTGATGCATAGACCTAGGCTAGCAAATATATGTACTATATTAGGCCTAAGATAGCGCATATTAGGGCTACGATTTCTTAAGACAGGTTAGGTTCTAAAGTAAAAATTTTCCATTTTTAGAATGCCATTTAGGCTAATTTAATCATACAAAGCGTGAATGCTTTGGATGAAGGGGGATCAAAAGTCCATTTTTGAACGTTTGATCAAATAGTTGCTATAAGTAACTGTATATGACCACTGTAACTGTATATATAAAAGTATTTGGCTTTATTATTGGAGGTTAGGTTGTGAGCACTACACTCTTTGCCTCTCCTTGGCTGCTGTGCTCATGGGGGCCCTCAGGGAAGCCTCCTCCGCCACACACTGCCTACAGATACGTTCTGGTAATCTAGAAAGATACATGTATCCCAAACCTTTGCGTGTGTGTGCGCGTGCGCGTGGGTGCGTGCTCCAGCCGTCCCTCTGCGTGAGAAAGAGGCACTAATCCCCAGCTCTCCTTCCGTAGACTCCCGGCTGGTGGCGCAGCTGTCGGCGCCCCCTGGCAGACTGTCGAGCGGTCGTCCCTACGACATGAGGTGTGTGTCCTCTGGTGTGAGGCCGCCCCCTACCCTCACCTGGCGGCTCCGAGGTCAACCTCTCACTCATAACATCAACGTGGTGGGTACTGGAGCACTAGCTCCCTCCTGCTCCTCCTCCTCTTGCAGCTGTGTTGCAAATTGCACTGAATTATGTTGCATTCACCCACATCCTGTCCTCTACTGCTCCCAGCCCGGTCTCTCAATTAGCCACTCCGTAAAAAATGCAACTGTTTGTACCTATCTAGAAACGCAGGGACATGAACAATCCGCCTACGAGGCGGATGCGTAGAAAAACGTCAATATTACGGAGCCGATTCCGTACAAATTACGACCTATTAGGTGAAAGAACGGGCCCGTTCTTTTAGTCTCGATCCTCGTGTGTAAAATTTTACATTATATATTATCAGAAAATATTTAGAATTTAGTAGACCTGCCTCATTTTTTATCTTGTATTATCTCTTTCCTCACACATAGTACCTCACCTCTCAGCTAGGAGGCTGCCTCACCTCTCAGCTAGGAGGCTGTCTCACCTCTCAGCTAGGAGGCTGTCTCACCTCTCAGCTAGGAGGCTGTCTCACCTCTCAGCTAGGAGGCTGCCTCACCTCTCAGCTAGGAGGCTGTCTCACCTCTCAGCTACGAGGCTGCCTCACCTCTCAGCTCGGAGGCTGCCTCACCTCTCAGCTAGGAGGCTGCCTCACCTCTCAGCTAGGAGGCTGCCTCACTCCGTTGTTTCCCTCATATAGTCTCATAAAACAGTTGAATTTATTCTCCAATTAAAAAAAACAAGTCTGTCCCGTTTGTTTCTCAGACGGGACAGAAAAATGATGGTTAGGCACGTTTCACTTCACCTAATGCTTCTATTCACCTAGAAGTAAATGTGTACCCGGGAGTTTGGCCACTGTTGTGATGTATGCTGGGGAAGGTCAGCACTTCGACCTTGGGAGGACCTCGATACAAGTACATATATATATATATATATATATATATATATATATATATATATATATATATATATATATATATATATATATATATATATATATATATATATATATATATATATATATATATATATTTTTTTATTGGGGGTACCACCTCTGGTGCAAATGTAGGGACCCATAGCCTCAGAGAAGAAAATAAAGAGTACTCAGAGAAGACCTTTTGGATCCTCACTGAACACTTTGATATTTTCTTCTCCTACCACCCCTATTCTTTTGTTAAGTGTGTATATTTATCTAACTTTATTTGAAAATGTCATTACACAAAAAAAGTTACAATATTGATTACATACAGGGTACAAGGCTGCTTGTCATAAGTTGAATAGCTCCTCCAGCTCCTCAGATGGCGGGCACGAACCATGGATGCAGTGAGCATTTCCTCTCTGGATTGCCACACTAAGGCGCTGAAAAAGAAAACTGGCAGCTCTGGGGTCTCTAGTTGTTTCGATTAGCTTAGACCCCAACTCCTTTAAAAAGCTAGCAGCACTTTTACCCCAGGCACCAAGCGTCTCTGAGGCAATGGGGACAAAATTGTAGTGGTGCTCAAGGTCTCTGTATTTACGTGACTTGGCCGCTTCCCGGTGATTGGCAGCTCCTCCTGCTTGTGTAGCACTGAAGTCAACATAGGTATTGGCTAAAGTTGAAACGCAAGTGTAGTCCCACACCAACTGTCTACCATTCTTCCAGGGGTTCACCGTAATTCCGTCTGGGCGACCGACAGGCTCATCAGAGTTGCGGGACATTAGGTAACGGGGCTCTCTCTCTGCTGGACAACCGGCTGTGGTAAGGCTTCTCTTAATAATGTCATTAACCTCGCCGTGTCTTGCATGCCATCCTCCGGTCCTTTGGCAAAGAAGGCCATGCCGTCCATATCTGTCGGCCTCTGCCTCGCCGCAAATACACCTGTATTCGGTGTGGATTGGGGCAGCTAGGCGAAGAGCCACGGCAATTCGGAGGGCCTGCGGTGTGAGACGGGTGCCGGTTGCTGACATTGGGGTTGCTAATAGGAAATCACCTGCATGGGGAGCTGCTACAGCTCTAAGTCGGGCAGTGTCATGTGGTGTCGTCGCAGCTTCTAGCAAAGTTGCAGCTTCTTGGTCGGCAATGGGGCGATCCCAGCTGGATTGCTTATGGGCTTCAGAAGGCGGTGGTTGGGGTGCTGGTCCTGCGAGAGAGACCCATTTGGTTGTGCAGTCTGTGAAGCTGGGATCATGCACCCCTGCCTGTTGAACTAGGTGCTCAGGTAGGATTTCCTTCACCAGGTTGTCAGACCCCACTGAAGAGGACAGGAATGCTGGTACAGCAATTTGTGTTGCTGTGCGCACGCCAAGGCCCCCGAGTCTGACAGGAAGGGAGGCCTGTTTCCACTGTGAGTCGCTGAGGGAAAGATTGAGGGCTTTTTCTAGTGTTGATTTCAGCAAGCTGTCATACTCTTCTAATTTAATATTGTTGAAAGATGGCGAACATCTTAGAAAGTAGGTCAGCCTGGGAAGGGACAAGCATCTGGTGATGAGGTAAAGTGCATCATGAGCATCGATGTCTTCAATCCTCTCGTTCATCCTCTTCAGGTCAGTGATCTTCTTACCAAGGACCCCGTCGATGGCATTCCTTCCAAGAGGAGCACCTAGGAGTGTGCTGTCCTCAGGGTTGGTTGTATGAATGTCAGGCAAAACAACCTTTATTTGCTCTATTATGTGCTGGTTGGTGGAGGTTATTTCGCACTTGGAAGGGTTCAGGGTGAGGCCTAGGCTTGCTCCTTGCTCCTGGATTATTCTTATGTCGTCCAAGAGTGAGGCTGGGGAGCCGGCTAGAGTACCATCATCCAAAAACCAAATGTTGAGCTCACTGGACAGGTTATCGGTGACTTCCTTGATAACTAGGCAGAACAGAAAAGGAGCAAGGGGGTCACCTTGTTGGACACCTTCTTGTGATTCAATTTCATGTTCCCCAAAAAGCAGGGTTAGATTCTTGCTGTAGCATGAGTTTACAAACGGGTAGAGGGAAGGAAAAAGGCGATGAACTGCACTGAGTACTGCATCCCTTCTAACCAGATTGAAAGCATTTTTGAAGTCCAGCTTTATCAGGGCTTTTTCATTCGTAATGTTGGCAATGTAGGCTCTAGCTGCATGAGCCGCTGCCTCACACCCTTGGGGAATGCCAAGGGTGCCCTGTATATATATATATATATATATATATATATATATATATATATATATATATATATATATATATATATATATATATATATATATATATATATATTATATGTTTAACGGTGTTGACTTTCAAGAGTTAATTTAACATTTAATATTAGCTCCTCACAAAAAAACAAACTGTATCTAACTAGGCTTTAACCCATACATATTCCCGTCATATAATACTGCTCTGTATCTGATCTCATCATCAACTTCGGCAGATTTATAACTAATCCATAGGGTTTCCGGCCCCTCTTCTTCTTCATACCTGTCCTGTACAGCAGAGCTTGGGCGAGGATTCTGCTGTGTCTCTCCTGCGGCTGGTGGCGTCTGCTGGCGACGACGGCAGTCTGCTAGAGTGTCAGGCTGCTGCCCCAACTCTGCCTCACCTCACAGCCTCGGATTCCACCAGACTCTCAGTGCATTGTGAGTGCATCCGAGGGGACTTGCAGCCCCCCTCACTGCACACTGCTGCGTATTCAGCTTACAGCTTGAAGGGATCTGGGAAGCTTTAGAGTGTTCAGAATGCTTTAGGAAAGTGACTAAAAGAGTTGACCAGACCACACACTAGAAGGTGAAGGGACGACGATGTTTCGGTCCGTCCTGGACCATTCTCAAGTCGATTGAGACTTGAGAATGGTCCAGGACGGACAGAAACGTTGTCGTCCCTTCACCTTCTAGTGTGTGGTCTGGTCAACATACTTTAGCCACGTTATTTTGACTCATCGCCTGATTAACAGAGTTTATAGTGTGTTGGCAGCGAATGAATACTCACTTCTCCTTCTATTATTATGTATAATCTTGCTCATATTATTATGTATATCCTCGCTTACACGAACATAATTACCTAAACACTATCAAATTACTTATTTTTTGTGTAATCAAACCTTGACAATCTCTATCAATCTGAAGCATTAACGCTATAGCAGACAGTGGGCCAGTTCCCTCCCGCGGTGCTCTGCACTCTGAATGTTGGTACTGATTTTGTAATTGTGTGTGTGACTGTTTTATAAAAAGTTGCTGCGTAAATGTATTCAACACTGGTACCCTTAATAATTTAATGTTTTTAAAATGCTACATGTATATTTTTTTAACAAACTGATGGTGTTGAAAAGATTATGTATACATTATATATATATATATATATATATATATATATATATATATATATATATATATATATATATATATATATATATATATATATATATATATATATATATATATAATGTATACATAATCTTTTCAACATCATCAGTTTGTTAAAAAATATACATGTAGCATTTTATAAACATTAAATTAAAATTTAAAACAATAGATTTTCATGAAAAACTCTCCAGATACCAAGCAGAACGCCTTAAAGAAGACCAACGTCGTCTATGCCTTTAAATTCCCACTTGGGGACTGTAAGCCCCAAAGAACTCAGTATATAGGCAAGACAATAACGTCTCTTTCCATGAGATTAACAATGCATAAGCAACAGGGCTCCATCAAGGAACATATAATCTCTTCTCACAACCAGACCATCACCAGAGAAATCTTAACAAACAACACAGAAATCATCGATAGGTACAGTGATAGCAGGCAGCTTGACATCAGCGAGGCACCACATATCAAAAAGTCTTGATTGGTGGTGTTGACCACCAAAACTTTTTCTTCTGTATTCTAGTTTTGGCATATATAATGCCTCTAACCTCTCTTCGTAGCTCTTGTCCTTCAGTTCTGGGAGCCACTTAGTGGCATGTCTTTGCACCTTTTCCAGTTTGTTGATGTGCTTCTTAAGATATGGGCACCATACAACCGCTGCATATTCCAACTTTGGTCTAACAAAAGTCATGAACAATTTCTTTAGTATATCGCCATCCATGTATTTAAAAGTAATTCTGAAGTTAGAAAGCATGGCATAGGCTCCTCGCACAATACTCTTTATGTGGTCCTCAGGTGATAGTTTTCTATCTAGAACCACCCCTAGATCTCTTTCTTTATCAGACTTCTTTAAAGATTTCTCACATAATATATAGGTTGTGTGGGGTCTATGTTCTCCTATTCCACATTCCCTAACATGGCATTTATTTACATTAAATTCCATTTGCCAAGTGGTGCTCCATATACTTATTTTGTCCAGGTCTTCTTGAAGGGCATGACAATCATCTAATCTAAGTTTCTTATCTTCCCTAGTATCTTAGCATTATCAGCAAACATGTTCATATAATTCTGTATTCCATCTGGTTGTCTACATTTATGTAGACAACCAGATGGAATACAGAATTATATGTAGACAATGGACATCACTGGTGCAAGAACTGGACCCTGTGGTACTCCACTTGTGACATTTCTCCAGTCCGATACATTCCTCTGATTACTTCCTTCATTTTTCTATCAGTCAAGAAATTTTTCATCCATGTTAGCAGCTTACCTGTCACCCCTCCAATGTGTTCCAGTTTCCAAAACAACCTCTTATGAGAAACTCTGTCGAAAGCCTTTTTTAGGTCCAGATAGATGCAACCAACCCAACCATCCCTTTCCTGTAAAATCTCTGTGGCTCGATCATAGAAACTGAGTGAATTTGTTACACAGGATCTTCCAGATCAAAAACCATACTGACGATTTGATATTATATCGTTTGTCTCCAGGTGTTCTACCCATTTATTTTTTATTATTTTCCCAATATTTTGACTATTGCACTTGTCAACGATACAGGTTTATAATTGAGGGGGTCTTCCCTGCTGCTACTTTTGTAGATTGCAACTATGTTAGCCTTTTTCCACGCGTCTGCTACGACTCCTGTACACAGGGATGTCTGAAAAATCAAGTGAAGTGGAAAGCTGAGCTCAGATGCACATTCTCTCAGAACCCATGGTGAAACTCCATCTGGGCCAACTGCTTTATTCTTACTTAGCTCCTTGAGCATGTTTTCCACTTCGTCTCTAGACACCTCTATGTGCTCTATGTGTTTCTCTGGAATTCTTTTTGTGTCTGGTTCTCTGAAGATTTAATTTTGTACAAACACACTTTGGAACTTTTCGTTAAATGTTTCACACATTTCCTTTTCATTTTCGGTGAATCTGTTTCCCATTTTCAACCTCTGGATATTGTCCTTTACCTGTAATTTGCTGTTTATGAATTTGTAGAATAGACCTGGGTTCTGTTTTGCATTTGTCTGCTATCCCTTTTTCAAAATTTCTTTCTGCCTCTCTCTCCTTACAGCTGTGTAGTTATTTCTCGCATCTTTGTATCGCTGGTATGTTTGGGGGTTTGGCCTCTTTCTATATTGATTCCATTTTTGTGTCTTTTGGTCTCTGGCCCTCTCGCAATTTCTGTTGAACCAATCCTGATTTTTGGCCCCTGCAACTCTGGTTAAGTATGAATGTTTGTGTGTCTTCATCGTATATTTTGCAAAATTTGGCATACATCTCATTTACTTCCCTGCCTAGCAACAAGTCTGTCAGATTACACTCATTAATTTTTTTTCGAAGTTCCCCATAGTGTTCTCTCTTGATATCGAGTTTGACAACTTTTTCAATGTCCCCATTTTATTCTAAATGATATCTTTAAGCATATTTAATGTCTAACATGACATGATCACTCTTTCCCAAGGGAGGAAGGTACTGGATGTCAAATATCTCTTCTTCTTTCCTGGTGAATACTAGATCCAGTACTGACGGTACATTTCCTTCCCTCATTCTTGTGGCCTGCTTGACGTCTTTATACAAGAATGTCTCCAGAATGAAGTTTACAAATCTGCATGTCCAAAAGTCCTACGTTCTTGCTTCATAGGCCTCCCAGTCTATTGCTTTAAAGTTGAAGTCCCTCAGTATCAACAGTCATGATTTATCTTTATCTGCATGTACTATAATTTCTCTCATGATCATTATGAGGCCCTATCGTTTGTCATCCAGTTCTACCTTTGTCCATGTGTTGCTTGCTGGTGGGCTGTAGGCATTTACAGTTATCAGTTTATTATCCTGATTCCAGACCAGCAATGCCATTATGTCAACTTCTCGAGGATTTTTTAGTATTAACTCTCTTACCTTCAGGTGTTCTTTCACCAGCACAGCCACTCCTCACTTCCTAGTTGTCCTGTCACGTCTCCAAACTGAGTAGCCTCCTGGGAACACGACTTCATTTAAAATATTTCTTTCAAATTTCGTCTCTGATAATGCGACAATATCTGGGACCTTAAGCTGAATTATATCTCGCAACTCCAATTTTTTTTATCTAACTCCATCTATGTTGGCATATACAATTTTCAGGAACTTGTTCCCTTTCCCTTTGTTCTTTACTCCCTCTTCCACTAATGATTATGTTGCCTTGTTTTTATGTACCATTTCACAAGCTTTCCAGTCCCTGACATTTTGTAGAAAAAAGAATGTTTTCATTTCTATTACCATTTAGACGTTTTGCTTCAATGAGGTTCATTTTCAGCTTTTCTCTGTCCTCCTTTGAGAGGTCTTGTCTTATTGACCAATGTTTGCCAACCTCATCACTCTGCAATTTCCTGTGTGTGTGTGTGTAATTACCTAAGTGTAATTACCTAAGTGTAGTTACAGGATGAGAGCTACGCTCGTCGTGTCCCGTCTTCCCAGCACTCTTTGTCATATAACAAAGTGTGTGTGTGTGTGTGTGTGTGTGTGTGTGTGTGTGTGTAATTACCTAAGTGTAATTACCTAAGTGTAGTTACAGGATGAGAGCTACGCTCGTGGTGTCCCGTCTTCCCAGCACTCTTTGTCATATAACGCTTTGAAACTACTGACGGTCTTGGCCTCCACCACCTTCTCACTTAACTTGTTCCAACCGTCTACCACTCTATTTGCGAAGGTGAATTTTCTTATATTTCTTCGGCATCTGTGTTTAGCTAGTTTAAATCTATGGCCTCTTGTTCTTGAAGTTCCAGGTCTCAGGAAGTCTTTGTGTGTGTGCGTGTGCGTGTCTGTGTGTTTGCGGCTCTCTGCTTTGATCATAATTAATGTCTATATTTTTAGTATACATATTTGCTCATGTATAGATAACGTATTTTGAGACAGCCAATTATGTCGGAATACTTTTGAACTTCATAAAGGCATAGTTTACAATATATAAAAAAAATATATTTCCGTGTTACGTAAGCCTATTGAAAGTATAAATATACTTCAGATGTTCCCGAGGCAAGTATCAGCATCGCAGGGATGGCTGGTCGGCTGGGAACTGAGGTGGGTGGTGGAGCTGAGGTGGGCGGCGGAGCTGAGGTGGGCGGCGGAGCTGAGGTGGGCGGCGGAGCTGAGGTGGGCGGCGGAACTGAGGTGGGCGGCAGTGCGCTGGGCGGTCAACTGAGACAGGGTGACTCTGTCACCCTAATCTGCACCGCGCGCGCCAACCCTCCCGCCTACAACGTCACCTTCTTGTTCAATGTGAGTCGACGGAGTGGTAGGTAATACATAATAGAATTTAAATATTCCTCGTCTATTATATAATTAATAATGCATTATATATCATGAGGGGTAAACGGCATGCCGCCACACTCCAGCAGTCACATTGCTGCAGACAGTGTTCATATATTCACTATATTTCCCCCCTTGCGTTTAGGAATACCCCCCCCCCCCCAACTCCCCTGCCTCAGTGGTAAGGCATTCGCCCCGCGTTTCCGAGCGATTTGACCTAGGTTCGTATCCTGGCCGGGATGGATTGAGTAGGAGCCAATCCTGAACTGTATGGCTCTCTTCACCCAGCAGTGATTGGGTATCTGGTTGTTAAAAGATTGACGGAAACAAACTTTTTTGTTGCGTTTTTACCATTTCTCTGATCTTGACACCATTAAACTGAACAAGGGAATCAAATAGCCTTTCAAGCGATGCTAATTTGATCAACTTTTAATATTTTTCCTACATGGTCTCACCCCATCAACTCTTCATGTTTCATGCCTTTTATATCCAGCTGCTTTACCTATCTTGCATTATCTTGGAACTCTAAGAGTAAAGGGAGACAGGATTGAATTATATAAATAGATGAAAGTGAGTAACAAAAGGGGGATATAAAGAGGGGTTTAAATATATACACACAAAAATAGGAGACGAAACAGTGGATATAAATTGGATAAGTTTAGATTCAGTAAAGACCTGGGTAAATACTGGCTTGGAAACAGGGTTATTGGTTTATGGGACACATTATCGGATTAGCGTAATAGACTTAGGAACACACCTGAGTGTGTCAAGCGTAGGTTAGACATATATGAATGAGTTTGGGTGAATATAAATAATAGCGACCACATATGGGGTAATAGGAGCTGCCACATATAGGCTAATGGGAGCTGCCACATATGGGCCAATAGGAGCTGCCACATATGGGCTAATAGGAACTACCACATATGGGCCAATAGGCCTTCTTATGACTGATCATATTTTTTCACTCATGTTTACAAACTTTTATCCCCTTAGCAGTCAGTTGCTGTTGTTGTTGTTCCCATAGTGGCGTGTGTTTCCTCGCCTTGAATATCTCTCTCCAGGATTTTCCTAATGAAGTTCTTGTATTCCTTTGACATTATTTCCCTCATGCGATATATATATATGTGTGTGTGTGTGTGTGTGTGTGTGTGTGTGTGTGTGTGTGTGTGTGTGGTCACCTAAGTTGTACAAACATCCTCACAAACCAAGTCTTATATATAGATAAGACATTAGGGCCGAATTTTTGCCTCTTAACAGGGAAGTATATAAGACAATATCCTGCCAGGAATAACGAATAATTCTTAACGCAACTTAAAAGCAACCTAACTCCGAGAATCTCACTGTCTCGTTTCTGTCTGAAGGCGCCGTCAAACTCGTGTTCATTAGTGATAATTGTCTCAAGGGGATTGTTTTCTTAAAGTCCTAAATATAGTCTAAAACTTAAGTAAACTCCCTGTGTATATACACCTAAAGGTTTAATACACTTTCAGGTGTGTGTATATATATATGAGAATGGCATGATCAATGAAAATCCTTTTCATGCAATTTAGTGACTAGTGATTAACTTTCGTACATATAATTAATGCCAATTTGAAAGGTAAAAGTGTATGGAGTGATGTTATTGCTGCTATCGCGTACCCCAGCTGAGTATACGAGGTTCCTGGTGAGCTCACTGTTCTCCTGTCCACGACAGGGGCGTCTTCTCGACAGAGACCAGGTGATCAGAGACGGGAGGAGCCTCACCTTGAAGCACCTGACCCACAGGGACGCCGGCCTCTACACCTGCCTCGCCTCCAACCCTGAAGGGGACGGTCAGAGCAACGCCGTGGCTCTGCACATTGCCTGTGAGTTACGGGTTTAGTATTAAACTTTCCGGAAGTTGTTGGGGTCTTTTAGCCCGTGCTTCTTGTTGACTTGCAGCCTGTTCTCCCCAAGAATCTGTCTTCCGCTACTAAGAACGTGTATTACGTCACCTAAGAACATGTTTATTACCTGTTGACCAATCCACACACTAGAAAATGGAGGGACGACGACGTTTCGTTCCGTCCTGGACCATTCTCAAGTCGATTGTGAGAATGGTCCAGGACGGACCGAAACGTCGTCGTCCGTTCATTTTCTAGAGTGTGGATTGGTCAACATACTTCAGCCACGTTATTGTGACTCATCGTCTGCATGTTTATTACCTCACTAAGAATGTCTAAAGCCACTTTAAGAACATGTCTACGCCACTAAGAAAGTCTTACGTCCCTAAGATCATGTCTTATGCCACTAAGAACATACCTCACGCCCGTAAAGATCATACCCGAACTCACGCACAACACACTTGGCGATTCGTTCACAATTACGCCAAACACAAAATAGGGTCTCTGACGTCAATGGAGTCTCTACCCGTAACAGACTCGCCGGTGTGTGAGTGGGACGAACCCGTGGAGATGCTGGCGGTGGCGGGGGAGGAGCTGGAGATGGAGTGCCGCGTCGCAGCATCACCGCCGCAAGTGACCTTTAACTGGGAGAGTATAACCTACCTCTCTAACATGCATGAGGTAAAGAGCTGTTGAAAGGTGGTGCGCTCTCTCTCTCTCTCTCTCTCTCTCTCTCTCTCTCTCTCTCTCTCTCTCTCTCTCTCTCTCTCTCTCTCTCTCTCTCTCTCTCTCTCTCTCTCTCTCTCTCTGTATCTCTCTCTCTCTCTCTCTCTCTCTCTCTCTCTCTCTCTCTCTCTCTCTCTCTCTCTCTCTCTCTCTCTCTCTCTCTCTCTCTCTCTTTTTTTTTTTTGCCTAGGGGGGGGGAAGGTGGGATAGGATGGGGGGTTAGTAAACATTGACTATACCTGGGCATGGTCGTTCTTTTCAGACGTCAACTATACAGTGGTTTTGGTCTAATCAGAAGCGCAAGAATCTAGGCAATCCACCTAATGTATTTAACGCCATATTCCAGAAGGTTCTTGTTTTAACCCCATATTCCAGGCACTTCTTATTGATGCAAGTCGATATTCCAAAATTTTATTGTTGTTGATGAGATTGCATCTTGCAGGAAGTTCGAGGAGCTCTGCGTCACAAGGACGAGGGCCTGACGTCAGTAGGGTGGGTGACGTCTAGTAACGTCAGCGGCGTCAGTCAGCGAGCCGAGTGTCAGCCCAGCAACGTGATAGGCCCTTCCGACCAGCCCTGTGTCTTCACCATTCTTCTTATTGGTCAGTTTTACCAACTTGCTAGTTCCCCCTTTCGTTCACTGTCTTGTTTTCGCAATCAGTCCCCCCCCCCACACACACACACATACACACGCACGCACGCGCCTAAAATTATCTTTTCTTTCTCAACCCACAGGACAGCCAAGCACACTGATTGGCTGCTATTACCATGACGTGACGACGGACTCTGCTAGTGTCACCTGTTCCCCTGGCTCCGCATCCAGTCACCTTCCTGAGTCCTACCATCTTGAGGTGAGGCACTGAGGTGAGAGGCTGAGGTGAGGCACTGACGTGAGAGGCTGAGGTGAGAGGCTGAGGTGAGGCACTGACGTGAGAGGCTGAGGTGAGGCACTGAGGTGAGGCAGGCAAGAACAAGCACATATTGAACAACACATCATTGGAGGAGAGAAGAAACGTGTGAGATATGATCCCGACTTACAAAATTTGTAGGGAAATTGACAAATTAGAAACCTGGCATTGGTGCGTCTTGTACGCCAGGAAATATGGTAAGTACTCAATGGACACAAAAGGTAGAGTAATTATCAGGAGAAAGCACTTAGACTATATAGCCTATAAAGACTATATAGTACTTGAGAGGAATATGAAAACAAGGATCTTGAATATGAAGGAGTGAAGGAACGATGCCAGACCATTTGGACCATCAGTGATCGAACGCCGCCCTGCAAGAATCGAAGCCGTCACTGTGCCAACCAGTCAAAGCGGTTGGGTCCAGGGAAAGCGCCAAGCCTTTACGACTATATAGCACTGGGTCAGGATAAGGATTTGGGATGGGACGAGGGGAAGGAATGATGCCAAACCACTTGTGGACGGTCGGGGATTGAACGCCGACCTGCATGAAGCCAGACCGTCGCTCTACCGTCCAGCCCATCATACTCTAGGAGGTGCAATACATAAGGAAATGGAACTGGGTAATGGTGCCAGACGCCCTAAAGAAATCCAAATGTGAATTAGCCAGGGGGCAAGATTCACGAAGTAGTTACGCAAGTACTTACGAACCTGTACATCTTTTTTCAATCTTTGGAAGCTTTGTTTACAATTATTAAACAGTTAATGAGCTCCGAAGCACCAGGAGGCTGTTTATAACAATAATAACAGTTAATTGGGAAGTTTTCATGCTTGTAAACTGTTTAATAGATGTAACCAAAACCGTCAAAGATTGGGGAAAGATGTACACGTTCGTAAGTACTTGCGTAACTGTTTCGTGAATCTGGCCCCTGAACGAGAAGGTTTAGGGAAGACGCTCATCAATCTGTTACAAGACTCAGAGATGGTGTCCATAAGCTGTAGCTGAACTCCCGCAAGCAAAGCTAGGCTACACCAACATACAAGCAAATATAATATAATATGTAAGATATATTAGAGTGAAGAGGTAGGGAAATGTTTTAGCAGAGGGCAGGTGTTTCAGATCTGGGACGAAGGAGGTGGTAGCAGGTGTACATTGATACAGGTGTGCGAGGAGACGGAGATGTGCAATATAATCCCTAAATTACATATTACAGGTGCGCGAGGGGACGGAGGTGGTGGCCGTGTACAACAGCAGTGAGCCCAAGTTCAACGTGACGTCTCTGGCCCCGAGCCGGGACTACGTGCTGGCCATGTACGCAAGCCACACTAAGGGTCGGGGTAACCAGACCACACTACTGATGAAGACCCACACCCCAAGGCTGAGCAAGTGGCTCCCGAGGGGGTACCCGTCAACGGTGAGTGGTCATGGGGGTTGACAGGGGGGCCTAGGGGTTGACAGAGGGCCAAGGGGTTGACAGGGGGGCCTGGGGGTTGACAGGGGGCCTGGGTGGATGACAGGGGGCCTGGGGGGATGACAGGGATGGCCTGGGGGTTGACAGGGATGGCCTGGGGGTTGACAGGGGGGCCTGGGGGGTTGACAGGGGGCCTGGGGGTTGGTTGCACTTACCTGTCACTATTTAACTATTGGTGTCTAGGGAGGAAGGAGGTCTAGCTCTGTATGCCCCCTCTACTAGCCTTGTTGTACCTGGTGCATAATAACTTAACTATCCTAATGTTGTAATTCCTTGTCGTATCTAGCATTACATTTGTGGCTGGAGGTGGCTTCCACAACTGCTTCTTTCAGTGTATTCCACTTGTTGACTACCCCGTGCAGGGTATGAGTCTTTCCTTCGACTCATTTGCATCTCCAGCTTCCACTTATGTCCTGCTTTCTCTCAGTTTAAAGTTAGGCTGCCCTTGTCCACCTTGTCTATTCCCCATCAGTATCTTGAATGTTGTGATCATATCCTGTCTGTTTCTTCTTTCCTCTAGGGTTGTGAGATCTAATTCCATTAGATTGTCCTCATAGCTTAAACCTCTTAGCTCTGGCACCAATCTTGTTGCAAACCTCTGGTTTTATGCGTTGCATGAAAACCAGAGGCTTCTATACAAAACGTAAAACCAAATTGTGAAGCTTAAAACCTAAATCTTGTGAAGGTTTACCTTGTAATACTGAAACCTGAAAACTTGTAAACTCGGTGTTATGCTTTACAAGATGTGAATTCCATGCTGGTATTGCATATTCCAGTATTGGTCTAACATATCCTGTGTAGATTGCTTTAAATGAGTCCTGCTTTCGGTTTCTAAATAATGTTCTAATTTTTCGTAGTGTTCCATATGTTGCAGATGTTGCCCTATTTGTGTGTGCCTCTGATATTAATGTTATAATTTTATCCATTCCTAAATCTTTCTCTGTTTCCAGTTCCTGTAGTTCTTTCCCCTTATGGTGTAGATGCCCTATGGTCTGCTGTCTGCCTTTCCTACTTTCATTACCTTTCTCTTGTTGGGATTTAATTCCAGTAGCCATTTGCTTGCCCACTTCTGGAGTTTGTCAAAGGCCTCCTGTAACGTCCTGCAGTCCTCTATTTTTGCATTCCTCGTCAGCTGTGTGTCATCTGAAAACATTGATATGTATAAGCTCACTCTCTCGGGTAGGTCGTTCATATAAAGTAGGAGCAGTAGTGAATGAACCTTGTGGGAATTCACTTATTACATTCCTCCAGCTTGTGACCTCCTCTCTCTGACTATGATTATTTGCTTTCTATCCTTTAGGATAGAAAGGCCACTGAGGCCACTCCAAACCAGGCCGACACCAGAGCGCAACTCCACAGTCTCCTGACACTGATAGATGCCTACTACTACTATCCTTTAGGTACTCCCTTACTCAGTTTGGTGTTTTCCCAGTTACCCCAGCCTCCTTCTCCCTCTTGTACACCAGTCTTTCTTGAGAATCAGTGTCAAATGCTTTTTGACACTAGGAAAAAGTCTACCCAGCCATTTCTTTCTTGGCTTTTTAGTAACCCTGTCATAGACCCCAATGAAATTTGTCAGGCATGATTTTCTTTCTCAGAAGGGGCAACATACATTTGCTCCTTTCGAAAGGGCAAATGCATGTTGCCCCTTTCATTACAAAGTTCTTTGTATTTTTCCACGCTTTCTTTTACCCTTTAGCTTCCCTGCATTGCTTGTTGTGCCAGGGGTTTACTTCACCTTTCTCCTTCACCCCCTTGAGTGGTATGAACTTCTCCGTTGTATCTGGATATTTCCATTCTACGCTCCCAGTTCTCTTTCCCCTTGAACTTCACACAGAGAGCCCCTCACCTTAGTGTTGTCCCTATGTCTGTAATCTTTCATCGCTCTTAACATATTTCTTTGTCTGACCAACTTCTTCAGCTGCAGTAGGTACTCGAGCAGGGTAACGCAGTGGTCACTAGCTCCCAGAGGGACCTTATATTCTATTTTTACAACAGCTTCCTTGTTTTGGGGAAAAACAAGGTTGTTAGTGTTGCTGGAATGTCTTCTCTTCTTACTCCTGTTGGTTCTGGAATATGCTACTATGTCTACCAGTTTTGCCGTCTTTGTTTTAACATCTACATGTGGGTCCTTATTTATCTTGGGGACTATTTAAGCTTCCTCACGCTTGTAGGCTCAGCACAACACACTGGGATTTCAAGGAAAACTGTACCCAAGATACATCACGAGAGATGACAGGTGTTTGTTGGTCTTGGAACTTGGTCAACCATGTGGAAGCATGTAAATTCCAAGACCAAGCAACCAGCATGGTCCAAGTGGTTAGGTACCGTTCCTTCCCTCCGTCCTATCCCTGATCCCAGTTCACATGTTCCTTACAAGTGCAAAATAAGCACACTGGCTTAGGACTTTATCTTATCATTATGATTGTATATTTTAAGCAGTGTTGAGCACCGGGGATGGATCAGCCAGCCCGACCATGCCTCCGTGGACCAGAAAGTGGGTACCGGCAAGTGTGGTGGTGGGCGTGGTGGTGGGGATTGTGGTTGGCGTGGCGGTTGTTGCTGCGGGCGTGGCGACCTGCCGCGCGCGTCAGGCTTTCGGCAGCCCCTTCTCCAGCCGGACCCACCAACAGGCATCACAGGACCCACTGTTTCAGCTGCCGCAGGGTGGCCTGTATCAGGCCTGCACCACGCAGCACTCCTGCGGTAGGTACAGTGTGGCACCACACAGCATTCCTGCGGTAGGTACAGTGTGGCACCACGCAGCATTCCTGCGGTAGGTACAGTGTGGCACCACGCAGCATTCCTGCGGTAGGTACAGTGTGGCACCACGCAGCATTCCTGCGGTAGGTACAGTGTGGCACCACACAGCATTCCTGCGGTAGGTACAGTGTGGCACCACGCAGCATTCCTGCGGTAGGTACAGTGTGGCACCACACAGCATTCTGCGGTAGGTACAGTGTGGCACCACACAGCATTCCTGCGGTAGGTACAGTGTGGCACCACGCAGCATTCCTGCGGTAGGTACAGTGTGGCACCACACAGCATTCCTACTTTAGTCACAGTGTCACACCACACAGTATTCTTGCGGTAGTACATTGTGGCGTCACGCAGCGTTATTAGTTTTCATTCCACAAATACAGCTACTGTAGATAAGCTGCTCTCCGTGTTAAGCGTAAACAGTATCTCTACAAATTTTATGATTTCTTACCAGTAGCTTTCATTGCCTGAGTTATTAAATTTTCTTCTATTCCAAGACAAGTTTATGTGTCCTCAGTTACACAGGAGAGGTCCTGAGGTCGTCCAGCACTTCCCCGACTTCTTTCATCAAAACCAGTTCACATTCCACCCTTATTTTCTCTTCACTGACTTTATTTGTTGAGCCATTAATTGACTGGTTTTAAGTTCAGCAGCCATTATTGAAAACAGCTCTGGAGTGTATATTCAGATGCGCCTGTATGATCGAGTTTTGTGTATATAAATGTAATTTTTGAACAACAGCTCCTCGAGCTTTAATCATACTACTCTTCTTCTGCTAGAGCTACTGACGACGTTCACTCCGGGGCCTGTGGTGGTGACGCAAGCGACACCTGGAAGGCCATCGCGAAGACTGTCCAGCCACATCCATCAGGGGCCTGGCTCCAGAGTTACCTGCAGCAGAGGGGGTCCCGTGCACCTGCTAGAGGTAGAAGCGGATAATATCGCAACCCCGACCGTGAAGATCGAGTCGCCTTCCAAATTGCCGGGTTTGAAAGATGACGGCCTGAATCTTCGCTACTTGCTGCCTCTGTCTCCTCATTTTGAACACTTCCAGCGTTCCAGGAGAGCATCTGATGACAGACCACAGACTGACTCACAGCACCAGTTATTATTTCATAAAAACGATTATTGCCAGGCTTATTTACCATCCCAGGGATCTTCCCGGCTTCAGCCTCTGGCTACAGCATATCATCCACAGCAACAAATACACACTGTAACTGTCCCTCACACTATACCAAACATTCAGCTCATTCCACATCTCTCCACTGTAAGCGTGCCTCACACTACCACCCAACATTATGCCGTCGCCACCCATTGCTCTGCTTCTAAAGCTCACACTACCACTCAGCCGCAAACTGCAACACTGCAGACTACACAGCTGCAGTGCCGAGCTGTGCCCAGATCACAAACTTTTTCCGCTCCACAAGTCACAACTTTTCTACAGGCTTCCACACATCCCAAAGCCACAACTTCCTCCAAGGCTTCTACACATCCCAAAGCCACAACTTCCTCGCAGGCTTCCACACATCCCAAAACCACAACTCACCAACCGGCCACCACTATCCAAGAAGCAACCACGATACCTCAAGCCAATGAACCCCCACATGAGGGCCACCATCCACACAACTCCCATTTAAGCTTGGAAACACCTCTGGCATGTTCAGCATCTCTCCTAGATAACCCCAGGCCGAAAATACCTCCTGATCTTCAGTACTCCCCAGGGCTCCAGAGACGCCGTATTCCCAGGTTCCAGGTGAGTGAACCTGAGGAAAGTTCACCTGTCTCACGCTTGTGCTCACAGTTTGTCTCACTCGTTGAACCCAGCCCACACCTGGACCGCAGATCTCACCTGGACCCCAGAACTCACCTGGACCCCAGAACTCACCTGGACCCCAGCCCTCAACTGGACCCCTGTCGTCACATTGAGTCATCCTCAACACACCAAGACCCAACTACACCTGACAACACTTCAATAAACTTTTTTTCAATTTTTCGGTATCTTGGTTCTTCATTATCCCTCATCCTATTGAAATATGTGAATAATGACTAACTACAGATATCTGTTATCTTTAATATCTTATGTAAAAAGATAACCTATCCGGAAGTAACCATCAGAGAATTATTTGGCGATGGACTGTTGAACGAAGGAATATATTATGTTTACCCTTGTGATCTAAGCGCATTGGCTTTCTGTATAATCATTATCAACATCATCCTTTTTATCTTTTTCCATAGGGGCCTTTACATTTGCCCGCAATAGATGCTTGAACAATTTACAAACAGGATTTTCCCTAGTCATGGCGGCTTTGTTTACATTTATTAAACAGTTTACGAGATTTTACAATTCACAATCCAAGACTATTGTTAAATACAACCTCGCAGCGCCACGGAGTTCATACACTGTTTAATAAATGTAAACAAAGTTGGCATGATTGGTGGAAGATGTCCAGGTGTCATTAATGGGGCCAAACACCGGGAACAAACGGCACAATACTTCAATAGATCATCAATAATACTATTGCCACGTTCCGTCACAGACCAGGAATAGGCTGCCCCGAGCCAGTTGCCTTGGACACATGTCAATAATTAGCTTAGTGCTTCCACTCACGCACGGTCGCTGCCACCTCTTGTGAACTGTTCAATTCACGCTTCCTTTCACACTCGTGTGATCATATTTTGGTTGGTTTTACTTTCTTCGTGCTCTGAAATTCTTGTTCTACTAACAGTTGCTCGATCTTACATCTGATCTGTTCAGAATTATGTGAAATTTTGCTTCCCAATCTTCTCTTGAATCGTCAATCTGATTCATCTGACATTCCATTTTATACTAGTCTCGGTATCCTTAATAATATATAGCATTTTTTTAATATTCCGTGAAATAAACGATGCTATTTCGTCATCAGGACTTAGTGCCTTCATTCCATAATTGTACACTCAGTTCACCCAACGTGACTGATCTACCATTACAAATTTTAGACAAAAGCACACATACTTCACTGTGGCTACTGGCTGTAACATGCAATATATTAATATTAACGAATATCTATATCAAATGGAATGTCTGACTGTTCAAAATAGGCCAGACGGTTAGGGCTAGGCTCGCCCAACTTTCCAAAATAATACATATTGGGTGTGAGAGATCAGTTTGGTGTCGGTACGACTGCTATCCTTCAAGAAATATCGACATGTATATAGCGACCCCTAGCGGTTTTTATGAAGTCTGAAATAAGGGATTTATTTTCTGTAGAGTTTCATAAATGTTTTAATGTGTGTTTGTGCGTAAGGATGTTTGAACTAGTATACATAACAATTATATTCAAGTTTCTATGATTCTAAAGAAAATAATCTAATCTTATTGACTAGGATACAGTACATTGTGTTTTGATTATTTTTCGTCAACGCAAAGTTCCGGCGGGTATTGAGTTCTGTTCTTGTCATCATCAACTACTGCTTGTGGTTCATACTAGAATAATGGCACACGGTGACCTTCCAGCCTGGGTTTATTGGATACAAATTCGCTACATAATTGTTCTGGAACGTCTCACGGAATGCCAAAATTAAAGGAGAAAAAAACTACTATGATACTAACCCATGAACTTTATTCGTGACTTGTGGCAGTATTATGTCTAGACATGTGTCCTAATCCATTTCCAACATGATACACTATACATAAACGTTTGTAAACTTCCATGATACTAGTAAGTGTGATACATGTACGAAAAGTCTCGACATAAACATATTAGGTTCGTCGATTGCATCTGGATTAAATAAATAATTTTTCTCCCAGAAATATATAATAACCTCTCCGTGGGTAAATTTATACCAAATAATATATAATTTATGTCGATTCCAATAATAATATTCCACGAAGCACAGTATATCAATTTCACGAGTGTTAGTAGTTGTCCGTCTCATCAAAATAAAGACTGACAAATAGTAACTCTTGCGATAATCTTACATTAATTATATAAATAGCAATTACTAAAAGTAGACGGCTATTAACAGTAAATATTGTGTATTTGAGCCAAATAAATTCCTGGCAAAGACCTTGAGAAGCTACGACGCTACTCCCTTCTGCGCCACGTGGCCACACCACAACAACAACACTGAGGACGGAGGCGAGGAAATATAGACACTAACGTCAATTGATTTCGGTAACAGCCCCCTTTCAACCATTCTATATTACCTCAAACCATTCCCGACTATCCCGTCACACCCCAGACAATTCCACTGGAGTGGTGAGGGAAGGTTGTTGTTAACGAGAAGTGGACATTCAGCCCAAGGCGCTTCCGGCTCTTACACAATTATTAACCGGGTAAGTATTTTTGTTTTGTTCAGTTCATTTATTATGCACCCCCATACCCATCCTGTGGGTAGTAGTGCACCCAATGCCCATCCTATGGGCGGTAGTAGACCACATACCCATCCTGAGGGCGGTAGTGGGCCACATACCCATCCTGTAGGTGGTAGTGGACCCCCATACTCATCATGCAGGTGGTAGTCGACCCCATACCCATCCTGTAGGTGGTAGTGGACCCCATATCAATCCTGCAGGCGGTAGTGGACCCCATACCCATCCTGCAGGCGGTAGTGGACCCCTTATCCATCCTGCAGGCGGCAGTGGACCCCTTACCCATCCTGCAGGCGGTAGTGGACCCCTTATCCATCCTGCAGGCGGTAGTGGACCCCATACCCATCCTGCAGGCGGTAGTGGACCCCTTATCCATCCTGCAGGCGGTAGTGGACCCCATGCCCATCCTGCAGGCGGTAGTGGACCCCATACCCATCCTGCAGGCGGCAGTGGACCCCTTACCCATCCTGCAGGCGGTAGTGGACCCCTTATCCATCCTGCAGGCGGTAGTGGACCCCTTACCCATCCTGCAGGCGGTAGTTGAAAAAAGTTACAGAGAGATATACTGTTTTTTTTAGTAGATAATTTTAATGAAATATTTACGCATTTCTTGAAATTTGTCATAGAGCTGTTTCTAAAATTATAATTGACCTTTTCCCTTCCCATCACATAGTAGGATCATTTTGTCATGATCCCACATTATCGTGAGTGTGTCAACAATTCTGCTGACCCAGTTTACATTTGATCAGGTATACATCAGTAGGTAATGCAAACTCCCAGGGATACTTATAACCGAGTCCAAGACGGGCAATAGTAACACCTCGTAATCTGCTGATTTTATTGGATGAGGGAGGGAATTATCAAGGGAAAGCGCCAAGCCATTACGACTATATAGCACTGGAAGGGTTCAGGATAAGGATTTAGGAAGGGACGGGGGGAAGGAATGGTGCCCAACCACTTGGACGGTCGGGGATTGAACGCCGACCTCCATGAAGCGAGAACCAATCCCTACTGTATAACATGATAGAGGAGAGAGAGGAAAGAGGGGAGAGAAGAGAGAGGATTACCTCTGGTCAGATTGCTTGAGTTTATAACACATGCGCCTCCTAACTTATCGTACCCTAAGCGCCCACCCTACAAATACAGTGTCATTGTTAGTCGTTTGGACAGTTAAATGTAAAATAATAAGACTGCATTTGATGTATGAGTGGACACTATTGCTGTATGAAACTGAATTTCTTATTTACTAATATCTCGTATTCAATACATTCAAACAGAAGACAAAGGATTTGGTATTCTGTTAACGGATCTTTGCATTTTTTTTATATTTTGCATATTTGTTTACGAAAATACTAAAATACAAATATGTGAATGGGCAGAGAGAGAGAATCAACAGCAATAATCCAGTCCACAGTTGATCCAGTTTAGGGTCACTGACGGAGAACAAATGGTGCTAGCAAAATCCAGTCCCAGAGTTAGTCCCAATTGGTACGAGATATATTAACGATTTCCACAACATGCTGCAATTTATGGGCAGGCATAAGTAAATTTTTATTTTGCCTTTTGACGGCAGCCATGTACATATTCCTGCGGTAATCACTTATGACAGGTATCTGCAGCTGATCACCGGGACGAATGCTCTCTTCTTTACCGCTGTTCACAAAAGTGAGACGAAATTATTTGTTAGATTATATTTTATGAATAAATGAGTTATTGATAAGGCAGAAATAAATTTGTCAGTGATAATAAAAGGTCAATACATAAGGAAATATATTAAACTGAAATGCGTGTCTCTCACCCGGGAAACTTGTGGTGGAAGCGAGCCTTAGCGGAGCCTTCCCGCTGGCTGAAGTACCAGAACGTGTGATCCAATGAGTAATACCGGCTGGAGGCGTCTGATCTGAGGGCGTGCATCCACTCGTACGCTAGTCTGCCTATCTGTACCACAAGGAGATCAATACCTTAAGACCAATATTCGCAGCCTATCCTCCAAAAATGAAAGCACACTTAGTAACTGTTTGATCGAAAGTGCCAATTTGTAGTGATGGACCGCCAGGAAGGTGACTTTTGTAATATTGAATCTGGACAAACTAGAATTTGTTTTCATCATAATTATACGACCTAGCCTAACCTCTGCTAGCAGTCACAGGCCTAATACATACTATCTTTGGTCCAATATATTACATATATGTGCTATGCTAGGCTAAACTATATTTAAGTTTGTTTTTTATCAGGTTTTTCCGAACTATAAACATTAATAGTACAAAAAAGTGGTTTACTGGTTGACCATCACTACATATTGGTACTTTCGACCAAATAGTTACTGTATGTACTGTCATTTCAGGAAGATGGATTAAATATTGGAAACGTTTCACCTATTTATGTCATCGATATTTTGGTTACAAGGCACATCGTGCACATTTATAATGGTTCGCTAACGGATTTTAAAACCTACATAACTAACCTGACATAACCGAGAAGAGCAAAACCTAACCTAATCTAACATCACCGAGCCAAACCAAACCAAACTAAACATAACATGACATAACATAACCGAGCCTAACACAACCTAGCCTAAGATAATATATCGTAATCTAACAATATATATACAAACAGAAAACACGCTTCGTCGAGCCGTCTTGTGAATGATTTGACCATGTCCTGATATTTTTCCTAATATATATAAGGACATTTGATAAGTAATCATCTAGTTGTACTTGCGGGAAGAGGGGGGGGTGAGCTACAGCTCCTGGGCCCCTCCAGTGAACTTCCTCTCTTGTCTAGCTATCACTAGCCCAAGTGTAAAGTCTTACTTGATAAAACAACCAAAATCAGACTTCAGACATTAGCTAAACTTTCTTATCTCGCACTACTTTGAAGCCTATGTTAGATATATAGTTTGCTGTTAAAATTAATAAGCTAATTTAAAGTCTCAATACCCTTAAAGACGTTGTTAAATAATTAACCTCAAATGTTATATAATGATAATTTACTGTGATAAATCAATCTTTAACAAGAACTTTCACTTGATAGCAAAAATATAACAAAAAAGGTAAACCTATTGCATACCAAATATTTCCTATTTAACAGCCGCATACAAGCCGTAAACAAGGCCCTCTCTTTAGTGGGGTTCTAAGCAGGGCTTACATTGGAGGAGAAGGTGACCACTATGTAGTCACACCGAGCTAAGAAGTACATATCCACCAGAAGATCTCTGAGTGAGGTAGGTGTGAAGCGATTAGCATCCAGCACCACATCAATCGTCTTCTTATGGAACACAATCTCGTATTGTGGGTACCTGTGTGGGGTAATGCGGGTTATTGGTACCTGTGGGAGTTATTGGTACCTGTGTGGGTTATTGGTACATGTGTGGGTTATTGGTACATGTGTGGGTTATTGGTACCTGTGTGGGGGTAATGTGGGTTATTTCTTATTCGTTGGGATGCAGAAGGCCTGTAGGATCATTCGAGGTAGCCCTGTTTAATTCACACTCAAACCCATATAATATATAATACATGTCTAGCCTATGCTTGAAACCCTCCAGAGATATTATATTGTGAATACTTTTAGTTCATATAGTTTAGAGTTATTCCCCCACCACATACACACCACACTGCACTACGACACACACCATACTTCATCACACCACAGATTCCAGAGAAGCTCAGGAATCTGTACACTAATAGGGTTGAGAGGCGGGACCAAAACTCAACCCCCGCAAGCACAACTAGGTGAGTACAACCAGGTGAGTACACACCACACTCTCCCTACCACACTACACCACCACACACACCACACTCCCCCCACCACACACACCACACTCCCCCACCACACACACCACACTGCACCACCACACACACCACACTCCCCCCACCACACACACCACACTGCACCACCACACACACCACACTCCCCCCACCACACACACCACACTGCACCACCACACACACCACACTCCCCCCACCACACACACCACACTGCACCACCACACACCATAATATAATATCAACAAAAGGCAACGGTACTTTTCATGTGCTTCTTTGTAGACCTCGGGCTCGTCGGACGCCAGATAGATCCTGCGAGTGATATTTGGGTCGAGGATCTGGAGGCCGTTGAAGTATTCCTCCACTTGCTCCATGTACTCTGACAACTCACGGTAAGGCGCTTCCCGCTTCTTGTCTGTTCGCCTGACCTGCACGCTATGAGTGAAGAGGTGATTATCAAGGGAAGGTGCTTGGCTAGTATGAAATGGTAGAATTACCGCACAGCCCCGCTCCTGTGCCAGGTAAGTCCACTTCTTCCATTTCAATTGTAAACTTAATGGATGGGGCTAGGTTATTTAATTCTAATAACAATGTGTCCAGGTCTCTATTCTTAGGCTATAAGCAAAACACATCAACATAACATCATCAACCTAACGGAACCTTCTAACATTAGGAGGCAAAATTTTACTGCATAATTTTGTTCCATATTTAGATTCTTCACTCTTAGATATTGAAAAAGGATATTGCAAACATGAATGATATTATGGCTGGAAAAGGAGGAAAACAAACATTATTTGTATCAGTGCCGGTGGAAATGATGTAGGGCGAGATAGGATTGAAGCACTGATACAGAGGTTTAAATCAGTTGTAGAATTAGTTAGGCTCAAGGGACTGCTCCTAAATTTTAAGTTTTAAGCATTGCTTAAAACTGGAGAAAGTGGGTTACCCATAGCCATTCCAAATTGTTGATAATAGAATTCATTATTAAAAACAAAATTAGAATTAATAACACAGTTGTATCAATTCTATTAACGAAGGAACTAGAAGGGGCAAATCATATTTTTACAGTTCATCATATTAAAATCTTAGTAAGTTATCAACCGAACACATTTTTTCTCGATATTTTGGTTTATAGATCTACTCAGGTGTAGTGAGGGTATATCATCCCAAAACCTTGCCTTCTCTGTTTTCGGGCTATTCATGCCTGTGCCACCTCTTGAGTGGCTTAATCTTCATCAATCAGTCTTCTCTGTCTGTATTCCTTGTTAATGTGGTGATACACGAAAACGTTCGAAAATTTCGTTTAATTTTCCTAGTGGGTACTTTACTCATACGTCTTACCCATCAACAAGTTCACCTACCCCACAATAGGATGCTGGAAATGAACGGCCTTTTCTGCCGTTTTGAAAATCTCTTGCATATAAGGTTGAAACTTGAAGACGTATTTAATGAACTGGCCGACCCACCAGGCGGCCGGGTCGCCCACCAAATGGATCAGGCGGTCTGAAATATCTCTTGGGACGGCTAAGGGTACATGGTGAGGTTTGGGATTTGCAAAGAGTCCTGGAAATACGATCGTCTCTGAATCATTCCTTCCTGTAAAATATCAAGGATATATGCAGGCGATGAGTCACAATAACGCTGCTAAAGTAAGTTGACCAGACCACACGCTAGAAGGTGAAGGGACGAAGACGTTTCGGTCCGTCCTGGACCATTCTCAAGTCGATTGAAGTCGAATTCTTAAGTCAAGTCGATCGACTTGAGAATGGTCCATGCAGGACGGACCGAAACGTCGTCGTCCCTTCACCTTCTAGTGTGTGGTCTGGCCATCAAGGATATATGTACACTAAAGTGAGATATTATATACAGTATATGTCGTGCCTAATAGCCGGAGTTGTCTAACAAGCAGAATTTTCATAAATATGCTAGTCAAACATTTTCTCTTACTGAATGATAAAGTTTTCATTATAATATATATGATTGGGATTTTTTTTTCAATTTGAGTCACACTAACTTGGAAAGTTGACCTGACCTGACCTGTCTAACGTAAGTTAGTAGGCAAACGCTCTAGACCACTACACCACGACACGGAAAAAGCAGTGCAACCTAGAATTCCACTGAATCCGCTAGGGTCCCTGAGGCTTCTAACTGAAACCCAATCAGGTTTTTACACATTGACGCCCTTCCCCCGGTCCCCCATACACTCTGGCTTATGGTTCAGTGTTATACTCAAATTGTATGACGGTTGAGACATAACCAATCACAGGCGAGTAGGCCTCTGACGTCATGCCAGACAGAGGAGCACCAGCCGTGCTTGCAGCAGGGCTCAGTATTCTCACAGACTCAGAGTAGTTCTACCGGGTTCTAGTCCGAGCGAGTTCGAAGCCTCGTCATCGCTCTTACTGATTTTCTCGTAAGTTAATAATTCATGTCCTCAATATAATATACCGGTATTAATATTGTTAGGGATGAACTAATTTGGAAATATTTGAAAAAATGTGCAAAATCGTTCTGCCTGTTAGGCAAAACGGCCTTACTTACTAAGTCAAGTAAAATATAGATAGATAGAGAGAGAAGTACCACCTCTACTTGGAAAGGGTGACCCCATAGCCTCCGAGAAAAGCACATACAATGAATTTGAGGGTTTTTTACGTCCCTACTATGTTCTTTTGTCCGACCCTCCTCCCCTACTAACAAATGAATATCTTACCCGGCCAAGACGTCATGTTTTGCCTGGAGAAGTTGGTGCATGTTTCACTGAGTGGCACGATGACGTCCACCCAGCCATTTCTGGTATACAGCCAGCCAGGATTGGGGATAGTAATGCGATTATCGCCGTAGGCTGCCATGAAGCAGAAGATGATATGGTGCAGTTCACAACCCATGCCGCACTATGGAGTAATCCAACGTAAGTGATGATTACTTTAACTCTGGTCGCAATGGAGTCACTAGTACTCGCCTAAACATGGATTGGTGAGAATCCTCTCTCGTTAGATATGTCGTTATTGCAACCCGTCCTCCTAATAGAAAGTTGTATTTTGACGTATACTAGGGGTTTCTTCCTATTGGGGAGTGTTATACATGCTGCTATGGCAGTATGTCCACTCACAGGATGAGTGGCGCTGCCCAATAAACTCAAAATTTAAATTTTTAAGCTCTACCCTTAAGGCAAAAATCGTCGTACTAGAATATGGCAGCGTCTCGCGAAATTGGCATACTGTAACGTTTTCTGTTTTGGGTCCTCTGGTAGGTTAGGATAAGGACACTTTAGTACGACACTTTCATGACTTTGGGATACCTTAGGAGGACGGGTTGCTTTATTGAGAACACGCACACTGGGCACTCAATATGGACATAAATAAATACGAGGCTAGTGGCGAGCCTCGCATTTACTGATGTTCATAGCAGGTCTGTTATTTATATCATTTATGGACATGCCCATAGCATTTATGGAGATTATTTCCATGTATT